TCCCTGCAAACATAGGGCTTCTCCCCTGTGTGTGTCCTCTGGTGTGTAATAAGAGCTGACTTATGACTCAAGTCTCTTCTAAACTCATTGCAAACGGAGGGCTTTTCCTCTTTGTGTGTTCGTTGGTGTCTGCTGAAATGTGATCTGTCATTGAACCCTTGCTCACAGCCTCTTTTTTTGATTCTTACAATTCTTGACATTCCTACCCCCATGAATAATTTTCCTGTATCCTCTGAATTCAAATTCTGGCCCGTGCTGGGCCCTTCTTCCACCATTCCCTCACACACTCTAGAACTCCCCATTTGTCCTTTGCATGGGGTGGAAAATGCCCTTGAAATTCTCCTCTGCTTTATACTTTTAAGCAAAGGTCTGGACCTTTCTTTGACCTCTTGACATTTTGCCTTGTCATTCCAGCTGTGTGGATCAGAATGTTGCTGCTGCTGCTGATTCTGATCACCTGGGCAGGGATTCTCTGGTTGGAAATGTTTTCTTGCAGATATTTGTGGGAGGCTCTGAGAAGAGTGTTTGCATTCCACATGTTGGCTGAGGAATTTCTGACTGGAGAAGGCCAGCGAGCAGGAGGGACATCGATGGATGTCTGGCTGTGGTTCTGCTGAAAGAGGAAATTTTTGGTCAGGTAGATGTTGCGTTGTATGCTTTGTCTCCTGGTAAGGCCCGCCCCACTACTCATTTTTATTGTGTTGACAATGCAAGATCTGTCTCCCACCAAGTTTTCCTTTATTTTTCCATTCCATTTTCACTTACTACATTGAGTAAATCCAGAAAGCCCATTTCAAGGGTCTTTTTTATGTATTGCCCAGACTAGGTACCTTCAAGCAGCATCAGAGGAAGCTTCCCTCCTTATAGGAATGGAACTACAATGACCTTTCTCCACATACAAACACCTTCTAAGTCATGTGACTCTGTGACAGTGTCTACAGTGATTTTATTCTATTGAGAGGCAACAGTCCTTTTGATGACTTAGAATGTGGCAGTAAATATGAACTTGAGTCTCCCCATTTAAAAAAACATATTTAGGGGCACCTGGGTGGCTCAGTCGGTTGAACGACCGACTTCGGCTCAGGTCATGATTTCACCGTTTGTGAGTTTGAGCCCCATGTCAGGCTCTGTGCTGACAGCTCGGAGCCTGGAGCCTGCTTTGGATTCTGTGTCTCCCCCTCTCTCTGCCCCTCCCCTGCTCACGCTCTGTGTCTCTCTGTCTCAGAAATAAATAGAAACATTAAAAAGACATATTTAATTGACAACCAATATGTGTCTGGATCTCTATCTGAAAGTGGGATTTGGATTGGACGAGACAGAGCAGTGCAGTCTCCTGGACTAAAGGACTCTGGTTCCTGCCACTCCAACTAGGTTATAAACTGCTTCTCTTTCAGTTTTCTACAAATCATAACATGAAAATATATCCTTCATACTTTATTTCATTCGGTCTTAGCTCATCTCAAATACAATGGGAAGTCCTTTCAAAATATTTCCTCGACCAAATATGGGTATATATATCACACTCCCAACCACCATTCATCTTCTGCCAACCCACCACCCTCTCTCACTTAGAGATGAAGTGATCTTGGAGGGGATTACCCACTGCAGTCTCTCTCCAAAATTAATCAAAACATCATCTTAAAATAGAGAACACGCCACTCTCCAGTCGAAAATTGCACAATTGTTCTGTCTCAGTCAGGAAACACCCCAGTGTCTCAGCGTGGACCACAGGCTCTAGGGCGTCTACGTCTATGTATCTATGGGTTCTCAGCCACATACCACACATGCCCCACCTCTCTTGTGCCTCAGGGCCTCTCTCCTAGCAGGCCCCCTCTTCCTGGAATCCTTTACCCCTGGGTGTTTGCGCATGTCCAGAGAGAGCCCTTCCCTGTCCAAGCTCTGCCCCATCCCATCCTCTCCTCACACTGGTCCCCAGGCACTTTCCCAGGACTAGTTTTATTTTCAAAGCACCACTTGCTGTGTGATGTTATGCACACACATGCATCTGTACATGTGTTTCCCTTACTCATTCACTTATCAGGTGCTCAAGAGCAGTGATTCTGACAAGCTTGTTCCACCTCCAGTTCCTGGAAGGCTGTCTGGAACAGAGTAGGAACTCACATGACAGCTAACTAAATTATGAGTGAATGCACACCAACATACACATGTCATTTAGAAATACTGAGCAAATTAAGAAGAAAGAGCTAAAAGGGCAGAAGAAACTGACTTAGTGAGGGAGCTGGTAGGTGCTTGAAAATTTAATTTTTTGGCCTCTAAGTCTTTTATCACTATGTTCTGTTACACATTTTATGCACGAGGTATTTAAAAAATCATAACAAAAATGCAAAACTTAAAAATTATTTCTAAGAGGCCAATGCATATGAAATGAATCCTTATTTCTGAAGCATCTGAATTGCAATCGTACTGATTT